ACCCTCTCCCACTGGAGCAGACCCATGAACAAGAGGAATAAATGTTTTTTATTTTAAGCCACTAAGAGTTTGTTAACACAGTATCACTGGACCAGAAACCTGACTGATACACTGGCCTACATTCCTCACTAGATTGCAGGCTCTATGAAGGCAAGAAATAACTCTGAGCCGAGCACCCAGCGTAGGCCTCATCACATCGCAGGTGCTCAATAAATATTGGTCAGTTGGATGTATGACTGAATGAATGCATGTGGGCCATTGACATGTCTGTCTCCCTAGCTAGCATGTGAATTCCTTCAGGCCAAGAATGGCATCTGATTTGTCTCAGCAACACCTAGCTGTCTCATTTCCCACACTGGGTTCTTGGTAGATACTCAATAAATATTTGTTAAAACCAAATAAATGGGATTTTGTGGGCTGGCTTGGGACTGAGTCCTTAATTTATGACATTGTTTCTATGGGAAAATGTATTGAGTGCCAAACAAACTTGCAAATGAACTTTTGGAACCTCACCCGTTCATTGGTTCAGGATTGCCAGTTTTGTGGAAATCCATAACTGAACACATGTGCTATGCTTTGCAATATGGGAAAAACTGAGAAACTGCTTCCAAACCCAAGATATTCAGCCTGCAAAAATTCGCTTTCCACCCACACAGACAAATTCAGCACAGGTTGGATTTTAGGTTCCAACAATAAAATACTAGACATTTTAGAGCTCATTGTTTATCTAATTGCTTTTTATCTGCTTATACTAGATGCCTATTCTTAACACCCGATCAAAAGGAAGTTAAGATAGTTTTCTTGCCCACCCCCCACTCCCAACAAATCCATTTTCTAGACACATATGCAAGAAAGCTCAACCTTCTCGAAAGGGAAAATAAATTATTTTTCTAAATAAATCTGTGACATTTAAAATAAACACAGTAGGATGCTCTACAGTTATAAGAAAACATCCCCCTTTAGAATTCCTAATTTTGAATGGTACTGGAACTCAATATGAGTCACAGATCTGAGGCTTAGTTTTATTTCGTCTTAGGCCAGAATCAAGCCAGTTTGAAACCAAGTGATCTGATGTGGCTGGGAAGGGCCATCAGTCTAGAATGTTCTATGCACAAGTTTCAACCCACAACTGGTAGAGTTTCTCAATCACTCAATCTACTTCATTCACTTAACGTATATTTTTTGAGCATCTACTCTGTGTCAGGCACTGTTCTAGACTCTGGGGATATAGTAGTGAACAAGACAGACAAGGACCCTCTGTTCGTGGAACTTACATTTTAACAAGAGAGGCAGAGAAATAAGATCGTTTCAGACCAGTGATGGGCGGTGATGAAAATAAAACAGTGAGGTGATTATGAGTGAGGTGAGGCCACTTCAGACTGGGAGATCAGGAAAGCGCCAGCCACGGAAAGATCTGGGGGAGAATATTCTAGACTAAGGCAACAACAAGGGCAAAGTACCAGAGGCAGGAACAAGCCTGGTATAGTCCTAAGTCAAAAAGAAAGCCAGTGTGGGGGGGTGGAGTGAACAGAAGGGAGGGAGGCATGGGAGGCACAGAACGGTCAGACAATGTATGTAGGTCCTGTAGTAAGAGAGTTAGACTGGATTCTAAGAGAGAAAGCCAGGGCAAGTTTTAAACCGGGGAATGACATGACCTGGTTTAGATTTTAAAAGCACCCTTCCTCTCGGAAAGTACTGGGACAGGGGTGAGGGAGCAAGAGGAGAACCAGGGGAAGCCTGAGTCCTAGTTTTATAGAAGGCTAGAACTCCTAGCCCGTCGTCAACAAATGCCCCGGTGTCTTCAACCTCTTCTCTGACCATACCTCTTACTTTCTTGTGCTTACGAAACCAGCCTCTCCCCTGGGGATACAGTTTCCTCAAAGCCAGCTCAGGGGCTGGCTGCTTCCTCTCACTCGTCCTAAGTGTCCTGCTTGTGTCCTGCTGCCTTTTCTGGATGCTTCTTCTTTCCTCCCCTTTTCCAAGCCTGCCCCCCAATGCACCCCAGCTTGGAAGCTCAGGCAGTCACACCATCAGCCCATACCACCCCGAAGCCCTCCGTGTTGCAACCTTCTACAGCTCACCCCCACCCCTGCCAATTCCTTCCTCTTCTGGACTGTTTTGCTCCGACACTGTTTCCACAGTCAGTCTTGGGGACTGTAATTTCCAGATGACTGATCTAACACTCTGCTACCTCAGTTCCTTGACCCTCTCCCTACCAACGATCTTGTCTTTCATCCTACTTCAAGTGCACGACCGTACCCTAGACCTTGTCATTACCAATAGCACCACCCCATCCACGACCTCCCTGCAGTCCAACTACTACCCTTTCCAGTTCCCCAGTTCCAACAAATCTTAAATCCAACCGCAACCTTCCATGCACAGATTCTGCCCCCCTTCCCATACCTCACTCCCCTCCTTGGAGTTCACGTCCAGCTGAGAGCCCAGAGTCCACTACTTTAAGTAAAAATATCCATGTCAATACCATCGTCCATCCCTTGGATACACCCTCAGTTCCTAGGCCCCTCTCCCCTCTCTTGATGTATTTCCTGCAAAGCCCTACCTTGCTAAATCTAACTCTCCCCAACTCTATGACTACACCAGCAGAGCTGAATGCAGCCTTCGAAAGCAAAACCACGCTGAGTGTTCTCGCTTCAAAAGCAAGACGACTGTCCTCAATGGGGCCCTCCTGCTACCTGGCAATCATTCTGTATTTCCCATCTCCATTCTCTGTCCAGCTCTCTTTCCTATCTTCTCTCTCTTCTCCCTTCAAACCTCCAGCACTTCCTCCCCCACCTCACTCTCACTGGTCCAAAGTCACTGAATATGACATAAGCAATACAAACTGACGCTGCACACACCTCCCCCACCCACCTGCCCCAGGACCCACATTCTGCACCTTCCCTCCTGTGACCAAGGATGACTTGCGCACCTCCTGCCCGAGGCTTGCCTCCCCACGCTCACACTAGATCTCATTTTCTTTCATCTTCTGAGACACAACACTGTGCAACCCTTTCTCTTTCTTGCACCATCAGTTTCCCCTTCTCTACTGGAACTTCCCCAATAGCCCCAAAGCACAGTGTGCTTTCATGCATCTTAAAAACAACAAAACCCTCTGGATTTTACTTTCTCCTCCAGTGTCTGCTCCATCTTTCTGCTGTTTTCCTCAGCAAAGCTCCTCTGAAGAGTTGTCTCTGCTCTGCTCTCTCCTTAGTTTCTCTTGCTGCATTAGCACCACTTGCCACAACGGCCCCTGTCATGGTCACCAATCATCACCTGCTAAGTCCAGTGGATCAGTTCCCTTCTCTTGTCCAAACTCTCAGCACCATCTGGCACAGCGGACTGCTCCCTCCTTTCTTGCCTTGGCATAATGGAAGCCACCTTCTTCAGTCTTTCCTCTTCCCTTTCTGGCTGTTCCCTCCCCCTCTTCATCTCCCTGACCCCCAGCCACTGCACCACCTCTGTGCTCAGTTCCCCAACTACTGCTCCCCTCAATCAACATGGCCTCCCTTGTCTGGTCTTCAGGCTTCTTTACATCCCATCTAGACACATCTAACCCCCAAAATTCATCTCACCAGCCCGGACACCTCGCCCATGAGCTCCAGACCTGTGTTTGCCAAAATAGTAGCCACTAGCTCTGCGTGGCTAATGAATCCCGGCCACTGCTCGAATTAACCCCTGCAGGGAGCTCTGCAAATGTAGACAGGGAACCTACCTAAATGGAACGGGTGGGAAAGAATACGGCAGAACTGTGTAGTGGGTGTGTGACGATGAAATGCTGTTCAGGATCAGTTAATTTCTTTAAACTCTAGACTCCGCAAGCGACACGAAGGAAACATTCCTACCCAATTACAATTATGCATGAGCATCTTCCCAGCCCTGCTTCTTTTGTCTGCCAGTGATTCTGAGGGCAACAGTCCCGTGAGGAAGCGCAGCAAAAGGCAAGGGCAAGTATGCGTCTTGCTGCATCGCAGCTTTCGACTTCCTCCGGGAACTCCTAATTAATTCTGTGCCCACGTTTTTAGTTTGTTTCCTGAACCTCTTGCTTATACTGCATTCTCGCCCTCTCCCTTCATTGCCCTGGGCTTCCATCCCCAGAAGCTCCCCGGTTCTCTTCCCAGTCCTCTCTTCTTTCCCCAAACTGCCCCCTTGTTCAGCCTTCGGCTTCTCTGCACCTGTTCTACTCCTCCTTATCCTTTTTCACCTTTAAAAACTGAAAGCACCAAACTGACAGACACTGTTATGGTTTTGTTTTGGTTTTTTTTTTTCTTTCTTTCTTTCTTTCCCCACCAAGCTACAGCTCAGGCGCTCACTCTCCTCCTCGCTTCCGTAGTGGGAGCCCGAGTACTCGGTTGCCACGGCAACAGCGAACCCAACCAGGCCGGTCCCAGCGACTAGGAGCTGCCGAGGCAGGGAGGAAGCCACTACAAGTCGCCCCAGAGCCTGGGTGGGTCGTGACCATCGTAATTCAAGACCAGGCCCGGCCCATTCTGCCCCGAGACTCAGGCTGTACAGCAGGCCCGCCAGCCGAACCACGCATTAGGAGACAGCACCATCAATAACGAGGCTTCCCCGAGCCAACCGCAGGCGACACATTATGAGGATCCCGTTGAAAATTTTCAAACATCCCTATTCTTTTATCTCCTCGGAGGGAAAACCTTTTGCCTGTCTCCCCAGAGTCTTGGAGAGCACTGTAGAAAGTACAAGCAGACCTGACATCTCCAGCCTCTCCTTCCTTCTGTCGCCGCCCGGCCCGCGCCCACCCCCAGGCTGGGCACCCCTGAGCGCTCCAGTCCAACCGTCTCGCGGCCCTGGCACAGCTGGGAACATCGCTGAGAGTGGGGAGGATTACCCCACAGTAGTTCAGTCGGCGGCCAAGCGCTCGGTTCCCCCAGGTCACTGGAACGGGTCGTCAGAGCAGGGCAACAAGTGTTCTGCGGCATAACCCTTCCCCGGCCCCCCGCCCCAAAAAAGTGAGTTGGTGAGAAAGAATCAGGAAATACCTTTGTAGCGAATGGCACCAACCGCAGTGAGGGTCTGCTGCCGTTAAACACTCGGTGCAGGATTGATGCTTACTGCAGTTGGCAACACGAATTCTCCTCACCTAAAAATAAATACCACAGCGCTTCAGACAGAATCATAAGCAACACCAGAAAAACGGCAACACCTTATCTGATGTAGGGCCACAAAGAGCACATTTATCAACTTGAACTCGGAATGACTCTGTAATGACATGGGGCAGCAGTCCTCAGAATCCCCTGGGGAAGCTTTTGAAAGTGCAGATCCCCGGATACCCTGCTGCCCCCGCTGCAGAGACTCCTGCTGGTAGGTCTGGGACCCAGCCGAGGGGTCTGTATTCTCCGGTGCTCTCCCAGGTGAGTCTGATACGCAGTCAGGTTTCTGACCGGCTAATAATGATTTCCAAAGGGGCCATGGAATCAGGTCACCTGGTCCTCACACAGAGACAGTTGATCTATGGTCAGTGGTGCTTTGGAAATGAGCGCCTGGGGATGGCAAAGGCTCTGACCCAGGAGTGTCCGCACAAGGCTGGTGCTGGACATGGACATGAGGAGAATCCCACACCCCCTCCAGGGTAACTCCATCGCTTCAGCTCCTGGCTCGCTTGCTCGCATTCTCTCCACTGGAGTTGAAAAGAAAAGAAATCACTGCCTGCCCCTCGAGCTGCCTCTTCCAGTTGTCAGGAAACAGCAACCCCACAGAGCAGGTGCCCATGCTGGGCAGACCCAGGCATCTGAGACAGTCAGTCAGAGCCTGGAAGTGGGGTGGCAGGAGGCAGAGAGGACCCCAGTGTCGCATGGCACATTTTCTGCAGGCAAAATCCCACAGCAGGTAGTAAGGAACTTGCAGAACTCATTAAGCCAGGAAGCTGTACATGCTAGAAGGTAGAAGTAACTTCTTTAAAAGGTTAGAGAAACAGAGAGTTCTAGAAAGGGTTCGTGAGGAAAATAGGCTATCCTGAGGAGTACTCCTCAATTCTAAGTTGACTTCATGGAGGATACACTTGTCCATTTCTCACATCCTCAGTGTTGCTGAAAGATGTGGGGGCAGACCACCAGCCTGAGCCAGAGTTGACCAGAATGTGGCTATTTCCTTGTAGCTCACACCACATCTTTTTAATGCTGGGGGGGGGGGTGTTCATAAATATGTAATCTCTCTAACCTTGTTTTCTCATCTGTGAAATGGTGATGGTGCTGCTGACTTCATGGGGTTATTACACTGTCTGGCACATACTAAGTGCTCAATAAATGTTGGCTATTGCTATTGTGTGAAGAAAAGGTCCCACAGTCCAACAAACATGTGAAACCTTATATTGAAAAGGCAAATAGATTTCCTTAGAACAGGCTTCTGAGAGCCTTTGAATATGCTCATGATACTCCAGGAGGGATATAGTCAATAACATCTCCTCCAAGGGCCACTTTTGCCCAGAACACTTAGTGGAATATGAGTCTCTCGAACATTCTGTGAGAACCATTATACAGTGTACTTAAACACACAAACAACATAACTCTATGTAAAAGAGAGAACGCTGTAAGTACTTACATTGGATCTGCTTCTCTAACTTAATAACACATTCTAGTGACTATTCCACAGCAATGCATAAATCTTCATGTGGTTATTTTTAATGGCCACATATTCTATGGATGTACCAGGGCATATTAGTTTGGCTGTTACTATCTCCCCAAGAGTCTGGGAAAGAACCTTCCCTAGGTTTTGCCTCTCTAGGGATTATACTGGCTCAACCAGAATCTTACTAATAGGATCCCCAGCAGTAAACCTAAGTGAAGAATGCACAAATAACTGGCTTTGATGCCCAGTCAAAAACTCTCCCTAGGACTTCAGGCTTTGAATGACCAGAGGCTAAGCAGTTTTTACCTTCCTGAAAGTGAGGACCTGTCAGCTATCTGTGGCTCTCCCAGTGGTTCCCAGATTAGAGTCTTGAGTTCCTAGGAAAGTAGTAATGAGAATTTATGAGCTATTCACAATGTTTCAAAGAGTTGAATGGAACAAACATGCACAGGCCAAGCAAGACTTCAAGAGTCTCTGCTTTGGGCTGGAATTTTATCAGCTCCATGTGGTAGCACAGTCCGTTCCCTGGCTGGCAGTTTTCAGATGCCCTTGATAAATAAAGCCTGGGAATGGGAATAGTTACTTGATACATGCAGTTTGTGGAGCAGACAAAAATCTTTCAAGTGCAGGAAGCCCAGGGAAGAAATAGAATGGAGAGCGTTGAGTGGTGAAACAAGCCGCTCAAGAAGAGTCTATAGGGTGAACAACTGGTTTAACAACGTAGACCAGGTCCACTGTCCCTCCCAACGTGGTCATTCTGACATAACCGACTTTGCAACATGCAAAGGGCAATATGGCCTTTCTAGGAATTCTGGAGACTACAAAGTGCTTGTGTACCTACCTTGTGACTCTAACAGCACATGTAGCTTGCTATCACTGCCATTCCCCTTAGAACGAGAGACAAAGAATGGAAAGTGGGGCTGGGCCAAAGGCCGCTGTTATCCCATTATATCATTCCGTAAGTCTCAATGATTTCCTTTGCACTTTGTATGTTCTGGTGGCCATGGGTCCAAATTACCGTGCCAGAATAGGCTGCTAGCTTGCACAAGTTTGGGATCTGATCTCGTTTATCACGGGCTTTACACACACACACACACACACCCCGGGCGAGTTATTTAACCTCTCCAAGTCTTAGGCTCTTCATATATAAAACAAGGGTAATTTTATCTCATTAAATTATTAACAGATTTCACCACCATTGTTTTTATGGGGGTGTACAAGCACACTGTATGCACACAGAGAGACCATATTTAGAATAGTAACTAGTACATGGTCAGTAGTGATTGAATACAAATTAGTTTTCTTTCCTTCCCTTGGTGAAAGCACTTTGTAAAAATGAAGAAAATGGAAAAAGATATTCTCTTTATTTCAGTAAGCAGAAGCAAGAAGAAAAACTAGAACAGCCAGATAAATTAAGAGAGGTAGGGTGAGTGCCATATATTTCCTGGTTCATGAATGTGTATGAGACTGTGGCCTGATATTAACCCCAAATTCCAAAGCCAATCCCATTCGGTATATTCATAAATGCATCTAACCGTTCAGTGCCCACACAATAAATGTGTAAATTCAGTTACCTTGCTGATTATGCACCCATTTGCAAGCACACCCTCTTCTGAAAAACTTGGCGTTGGAAATACAGCCAATAATAAAATTGTCTAAATAGGTAATATTTCTTGCTTACTTACTGATAGTAAGGTTTTTAATTCCATGTCTGTGAGCCACTGCGGGTCTTCCTGAAGCCTGCAGCAGGGTTTAAACTCGATAGTTCAAAGTAAAAGCTTCACTACTAGATAATGACATTAATTAAACACTTTTTACTCAGAAGTCAGAAGCAATAGTTAGCATTTTTACCTACCTCTTTCCCGGCTGTTAGATAGATGTAGATATTCTTCTTAGGATGAGGAACCAGTTTGTAGAAAACAGGTGTTTCTTCTTTAATTTCATAAATAACCTCTGGACAATTTGAAGTCAAATTCTCACCAAGAATAACCTATTTTTTTTTTCAAAAAGAGAAATACGATTTCTATTAAATACATCAAACAGCGGGGTGGCAAGACTTGTAGTTTAATTCTAAGACCACGTGCTCTTTTACTCACTACATATATGGGCTGAGGTACCAAGTCCTTAAGCATCTGCTGTCTCAGTCTTCCACAAGGCTGGTAAGAACAAGCACAGTCATGCGCGAGCGCGCGCGCGCGCACACACACACACACCCACCCACACACCCCCACCCACCCACCCCAACTTAGGTGCTGGGTCAGTATCCTCACAGGTAGAAGCTCGAAGTCCACAATTCCCTACCCCTTCTGGCTTTACAAGAAGCTACAAGAGACAGCTCCCTTAATACTATGCCAGGTGGGGGCACCTGGGTGGCTCAGTCGTTAAGCGTCTGCCTTCGGCTCAGGTCATGATCCCAGGGTCCTGGGATCGAGCCCCGCATCGGGCTCCCTGCTCGGCGGGAAGCCTGCCTCTCCCTCTCCCACTCCCCTTGCTTGTGTTCCCTCTCTCACTGTGTCTCTCTCTGTCAAATAAATAAAATCTTAAAAAAAAAAAAAATACTATGCCAGGTGATCTTAAAACCAAAGGAAGTCGGCTTGACATAGACTCTGATTCTCCTATACAATTCTACATACTTACACATTTTAAAGTAACCAGGACAACTGAACAGGCCCAAACAGGTAGGTATGTGTTTATATATAAAAATAGCTAAGTGTGGCTTTGAAATTGGACACACCTGAATTTCACTCACCTCAGTCAATAAATGTCTACTGAATAGCCCCAATGTATCTGGCATGTTCTAGATGTTTGGAAAATGGCATTGAACAAATGAGTGGAGGGTGGGGGAGTAGAATCCTACCCTCAAAGAACTTGGGTGTGTGTGTAGGGGAGTGGTGGCCAACAATAAGTAAATTATAAACTCTATTAGAAGGTGATGTAGGTCAAAATAAAGTGGGGTAAAGACATAAGGATGCATGTTCAGGGTAGGTCTCATTGAGAGGTGATATTTAGGTAGCTACTTGCAGGAGATGATGGAGTGGGTCATTTGGATGTCTGGGTGATGCACGCTCTTGGACAAGCAACCCACTGGTCCTGAGGCCCTAAAACCTGAGGTGGCCAGCGTGGCTTGAGCAGAACAAGTGAGGCAGAGTGCAGTGGGCAGTGAGGTAAGAGGTATGGAACATAAGTTCTTGTAGGCCCGTATAAAGACCTCACTCTTACTCCAGGTGAGAGAGAGGGAACCACTGCAGAGTTTGAGCAGAGCACCGACATGGTTGGGGGCAGGCTGGAAGCATGGGTGTGAAGATGTGTCAGGAGACCATTACCATAGTCCTGGAGAAACAGAATGGTAGCTTGAGCTCAGGTGTGTGTCCTGGCTCTATACTTTGAGTACGATGTGCTACCTTGAACTAGTAACTTACTTAACCTTCCTGGGCCTCAACTTTCTTATCTCCAAAATGGGGCTAAGAATGCCTTTCTTACATACAACTGTTAAGGATCAAAGGAGAATTATGAAAGATGCTTAGCACGTAATAAATATACAGTGGATGTTAATGTTAGTAGACTGCAAGCTCCTTTTGAGTAGACACCATGTCTTAATGTTCTTTATACCCTCCCCTTGCCCAATGCAATACTTTCAAAGTCGAAGGTGTTTGATTATTTCATCAGTTTGAACACATCTATATATGATATCCACATTTGTGTCTCTATCACTGAGAACAGCAGTGATGTTGGGCACATGGTTGTAAAAGAAAAACTGGCACCTGAGACTCTTTTCAGACAAAGTCTACATTCATGCATCTACTGAGCAAGAACAATCCTGTACCACATATCCTGATGGTAATTACATATTTGCTATTTTATCAAAGACTCCTTATCATTTTGGGCACATGGAGCATCTTCGTGCATGTGTCCCTGCTCCCAGGACCTGGCCCTGAGTTTGTCTTGCAGTGGTGACTTCCTTCCAATCATCTGCTCTGGGTCAAGTCCACTTGGATTTGGTACAACTGGTAGCTCACTAGGAGCCCATGAACTGCCACTAAATGCAGGAGCAGCTCTGCAAGAGTCAATCTCAGTAACTAAAATAGGACTTTAAAAAAAAAAAAAGTACCAGCAGTTAGGTCCCAAAGGAGGTGGAAAAGGTCTGCACCTCAAGTCTTTTAAAAATGACAATAGCTGCGCCATTCAGTCCGGTAGCCACCAGCCATATATGGTTATTTAAATTTAAATTTAATTGAGAATGTATAACTTCCGTTACACTAGCCACATTTCAAGTGCTCGCTAGCCACATCTGGCTAGTGACTACCATACTGAAAGTACAGATACAGAACATTGTCATCATCATGGAAAGTTCTATTGGACAACGTCAGCCTACCGAGAACAATGAATGCAGGGAAACATTGGGCAGGCACTGCCCAAGTGTGGGCCTGCCAGGTTCTTGTCTTCCCGTCTCTAATTCATAGTCCTTATTAATCAGCTCAGAGACAAACAATTGATCAGGTTCTAGAAAGTGGTCATAGAGAAGAGAGGAAACAGGAAACCAGTTAAAAAAAAATTGATAAAAATGTTCTCAAGTGCAGCTCAAGAGAAGACAGGTTGCCGTCCAGGAGGAATTCATCACGTCAAAGGCATCGTTGGGCAGAACCACCTATGATTCGTGCCAATAAAACCAAACCTGAATCTAATCAAGCCTTCAGTGCAAACTTTCATTTAGTATTAGGAAGCAGAAAGGGGAGGAAGCCGCTGAGTGACACCACAGGGAAACAAACAGCCAAATCTACAATGTGAGACATTGGACAAGACAACAGACTTCATTTCCCCAGTCAGTCAATGGTGGTGGCTAAAGGATGGGAGGGGGCCACTCTAGACTGAGAGAGACAGGGCAGCCACGTGTGATTTGAGGACCCTGTCTGGATACCAGTTTGAACAAAAATAATTTTCAGAAGATATTCTTGAGCTAATGAAGAAAATTCAGCTATGCAAACGCAACATTAGGTAACTCTAAAGAACGACTGATAACTTTGTTTTAATAGCATCATGGGAATGGTTACTTAAACTGCCCATCGTTTTTTAGAGATGTGTAATGCAACACAGGGGGGGTGAAATGCCACAGTCCGGGATTTGCTTCAAAATAAAAACATAATTTACAAAACACCACCACTCATCCATTTTAAGTGAGTTAGGAGCTACGTTGCAGTTTTTATCGGGACTTTGGAGCACGGTTGATGCAGATGGGTAAGGGCTGGCAAAATCTAGTTTGCGGGAGCTTTGATTCACCTGCAGATGAGGCACCAGGATTTTCTCTGGAACTCCGAATTATGGCAGGAAAGCCTTTCTGCGGTACCGTGTACCAGGCTTTACCAACCAGTTTCCTAAATGAGCTTCCTAGAGTGGTTTACACTGAAACCTTGTCCTGATAACTATGGATGCTGGGCTGAAATTGGTTATGTTTCATTGATGGTGGGAGTGAGACTTCCCTGAAAGGTAACTGGGCATCATCTATCAAAATTATAAAGCACATACCCTTAGACCCCACAGCCCCTCATATGTATATTGAATGACATATGTACATGGAGATTTAATGCAACACACATTATAAGCAAAAGATTGAAACAACCTAAAGGTCCAACCATAGGGAGCTGATTAAATATAGTATAAACAGTATAGTACTATTTAGCCATAAAAATAATTAGGAAGCTCTTTGTGTATATGTTTAACATATTATATTATGTGTGCGTGTGTGTGTATGTATATATATACACAGCATAAACATGTTTATATACATATATAGCATGTTTAATACATTGTATAATTGACAAAATGGGAGAAAGACTATCTTCCCCCTTTTGCTTGCAGACATCTAGAAAATATCTCTGGGAGGATACCCAAGAAACCCATATCCCTGTTTGCTCCACATGTCAGGAACGTGTGACTTTCACTGTCTATTCTCCTGGTTCTTTTGAATTTGGAACAATGCCAATGTATTATCTCAGAAAATAAATACATAAGATTTAAATTTGAAAAGTGAGGGTGAGTGGACCAAATTGTTTTTCTTTTTGCTAGATTCTGCGGAGAAGGATCTCCATAACCCCAAGGACAGGACAATAGGAGCTTCTCATTTACATCACAAGGGGGCCCAAACATGCTACATGGAGGGGTCGGGGCCTCTGCTGCTGTGGTTCTCTCTCAGGTGACTCCAGGTCAGGAGAGACATAGCTTTCTTTCCCCTCTAGATTTCTATTAATATCACCTCCTCCCCCTCCCATCCACACAGCCCATCCCAGGGGCATCAAAGCAACACTTGGATCTTCTAACTGCAAAATTCATGTCAACATCAACACAGAGAAGAAAGCCAGCAAGACTGGAGCATGGGAAATGTTCCTTCCTAAGCTCAGTTTAGCTGGGCAGCTTTGGAGAAAGAACTCGATCCGTGAAGTGACGCAGGAAGTAACAATGAGTCACAGAAACCCAAAATGGGTATAGTTTTGTATAAAAGCAACTCATCCAATTCATACGCGTTCCTTGGGCATGATGTGGATTTTTATCTTTTGCTTCCAGAATTCCCCTTCAATATAGCTCTAATCTGAAGTCAACCTGAGCCTCTGCCAGGCATATTCTCATTTATCCCTTCATCCTTTGAGTCTCAGATATCACTTCCTCTGAGAAGCTTTCCCTGGTTGCCTTTCTACCTTACCCCACTGTCGTTGTCTACCGATCAGTCCATTTCCTTCAGACCACTTACTACTGTCTGAAATGGCTTTATTGCCGATGAATTCAGTTATGTATTTTCTGTCTTGTTCTTCCCATCACGAGAGCAAGGGGGTTGCCTGTTTTATTCATTTTTGTATCCTCGGCACCCAGGATAGTGTCTGGCACATAAAAGGTGCCCAATAAATATTTATTAAATGAAAAAAATTCTATTAGTATTTGAGATTTTTATAAGACTCTTCAGATTTTTTCCAGCTGAAGCCTGTGTAGAAAACAAATTTTCCC